GAAACGCCCTGCTGAGACCACGTGTCCCGCCATCCTGCAGCAAGTCATGACGTCACTAAGTTCTAGCCAATGGGATGAGACTAGGACTGTGAGCTCCGCCCCCTGGGCCAGGAGCGGGGATCTCCAGGACCCTGACAGGTGCGAGGGTGGGCGGCAGGGCCCTACGATTAACATCTGGCTTATTGAAGCCCCTGCATTTCTGTCACAGCAGTTTGGCACAGTCTCTAAAAACACAACGAAGCTAGAAGTCGTACACAAGAACAAACATCCCAGTGCAATAAAAACACCAGGAATCGCTGTAGTTTAGGATCAAGAGAAAAGGGCAAGTGAGGAAAAAAACCAGGTTATCATCTCAATGAAAGGCAGGAAAAAGCATTCTAAAAAAAACCTGAATATTTGTCTATGATTCAGAAAAATAACTAAAAACTCTGGGGAAGAGGGAAAGCTTCTTAATCTGACGTAGCAGAGGCTGAACCTGGCTCCTCCGGCTTCTGTCTAGTGCCTTCCTGAACTCTAAGAGCCTGGAAGCTAAAAATCACGTTTTCCAGGCTCCCTTGTGGCTTAGGTAGCCCTGGGACCTGGGTTTCTGCCCAGCAGATGCCTGAGGAGGAAACTTGCAGGTGGAAGTGAGTGCCTGGAGGAGGAGGTGCACACAGGAGCAGGTTTTGGGGAGACTGAAGTGGCTGCCTATGGCGCTGGTTCTTCAGGGCATCTGTACCAAATTGTGGGCATCAGGCTGGGTGGCTGCCTGCTGTCCCTGGGGCAAGTCCCTGGTGTGTCCTCTAGGAAAGTCCCTGGTGTGCTGGCATTTTTACTGGCTGTATAGCAAACAAGTCCTATTTTGTATCTTCCTGCGAGCTTCTTTGACCACCCAAACATTTATAATAAGCCCCTTTGTGCTTCCATTGGCTAGCGCAGACTCTCTTATCTGCAACCAAGAACTCTGATTGACTTGCCTGAGAATATCTGGCAAAAAGCTTGGGACACACGTCCTACCTAATGTGAAGGTTAGTGAGTGTGTTCCTAGTCAAGCCAGAAACAGCATGAGATTGCCATGTTATCTGCTCCTTTTAAATACTGTACAATATGATTATCTACACAGAAAAGCCGAGATGATGTGCAGGCTATGACAAATAGTAAGAGGGTCTGGCCAGGTAGCCAGATAACAAATCGTTACACAAAAATCCAAAACATTTTCAGCAGGCTAGTGAGTGGGACTCAGGAGGACATCAGAGGGCATCACGGGCCCAGCTGGACAGTCACGAGGTAGCACCCTCAGTTATCCTCACTGATGCAGCTAGACTCAGGGTCTCCTAGGAGTGGGGTGTCGAAAGGAAGGCAGCTCAGAGCATCTCCCATAGAATGGAAGACCTTTGCAACTGGGTAGAAGAGGTGACATATGAGCATTGGAACACTTTTAGTTGGGCTTAAAAGATGACACAACTGGGGCGTCCGGTTAGCTCAGTTGGTTAGAGCACAGTGCTCATAACACCAAGGCTGCCAGTTCGATACTCATGCTCTCCACAACTAGATTGAAACAACTACTTGACTTGGAGCTGATGGGTCCTGGAAAAACACACTGTTCCCCCATAAAGTTTAAAAAAAAAAAGATGACACAACGGTCTGCAAACTTACAAAAAAATGATGGCCAGGCTCAATGAAAAAAGCCAACGAGTCCTCATTGAAAATGGGGCTCTTTTAAAGCTTTGTAGCAATAAACGTTACCACATTCAAGAAGCAAACAACCCTGGTTTGGACAGGACCAGGCCTGACCAGGTTCCGTTGGTCTGCACAGAATTTGGGGAATGCAGCAACCACCAGCATTTGGAGTTCACCATGCAGAAAAACAAACAAGATACTCTGATAAAGGGGACTAAAAGGCTGGGGAAGTAAAATCAGAATCAGGCAGAATCCAACAAATGGTGCAGCCAAGTCAGCAGGACAGCCTGAGACCAGGGTGCATCTTTATGATCCCCAAAAGTGACTGGAGGTCAGTCACCCTGCAGTAGGCCCTGCAGAAGGCCAGCCAGGGGGTGTCCGCATGGGTCCCGAAGGCAACACCTGTGCACACAGGCTCCAGTGGGGCCTCCTCTCAAAAGCTTGGACACAAGTGCCCATCCTGGCAGCGCCCATTGTTGCTGATGGAAGGTAAGTGGGGCCAAAGACTCTGGAATTGGTGACAGTGGCCGTTGGGCAGAATGACCAGAGGAAGGTTGTGGTGAGAGCCACAGGCTCCCCAGAGGCTGCCAAGATGGTGGCAGAGGCCCTGGCTCAGGGAGCACTGAGCCCGGACTTCCTCACACACCAAAAACAACTGCCTTGCTACATTCTGCTTTCCTCTTCCTGCCTCTTCTCTGAAGAGTCGCCACTTAGTGCTGTGACTTACATTCTACAGCATAAACAATAACTCGCAGGAGAAAGTGCAGAGGAGCGCAGGGACACAGGACTTATGCAGGCAAGCCCCATCAAAGGTGGACGTGTTTTCATCTTCTTCTATTTAAACGGGTGTTTCAAACAGTACGACATGTCTTTTCATGGAGATGTTACTATCTAATTTCTATGTGGGCAGCTAGGCTTGTGCTTATAAATAAATGTGGTCTTGCCAACTAGCTGCAGCGTTCCAGACACATCGGAGCGTGCTCCTACCATGTCCCTTGCCCCGTTTTAAACAGCCATGGCCAGTCTGTCCTCATGATCGTGACACTGCAGTGGCCTGGTGGGCCTGGACACAAGTCAAGGGGAGGGGGGAGTCAAACCAAGCATGACCCAAGTGGGCCCAGTGACACGAACGAGGGGAGCAGCAGGTAGGCGGGACCAGCACCCTAGGGATGTGTATCTTCCCCAGTCCCATCTGTGAGTCAACGCAAAACTAAAAATGTGAACTAGACAGACTGATCTTGAAATTCATACTGTAGAGCAAAGGGCCAAGAGGAACCCAGACAACCTGGAAGAAGAGAGATGCCCAGACTCGGTCCCCCTGTTGTGAGGTCAGCGGAGCTGGGGAGCCCCCCAAAAGCACAGGGGACTGACAGGACTGACAGCTCAGCTTTGCCCCCAACTGCTCCGGCCTCAAGCAAGGCATGGAAAGTACAAAGGATAAAGGAATAGGGGGGGTGATTCCGACCACATTACAATTAAAGACAAAGGCACCTTCACAACAGGAACAGCCAAGCTCAAACCTGGACGTGCATGAACCCACTGTAACCAGAGTCGGTCCTGCCCAGTCACACACCCAGATCTACGGTGTGCAGACAGAGACCACCTGAAAGTAGGTGGCCTGAACACAGAGGGCTATTTCCCAAGGGAAGCCCACGTGACCGAAAGGCAGCAGAGGTGTACACACCCCCTTCTTCAGGTGGTGCGCCGGCGTGGTGTGGGGGAGGGGCGCGCATGCGCTCATTCTGTACAGTGGCTCCTGGCTTGCAGCCCAGCACAGCCCGCATCTGACCTGCTCCTGGGCCTCGGTGCCTTGGTGTCAAGCATGCTTGGAAAGCATCATACTCTGGCCTCCGCATCCCTCACAGGAGCAGATGCAGTGGACCGCATGCTGAGCCTCGGTCTGAGGTCCCTGGCCAGGAGGTGGACAGCTGCTCAGAGGCTCTAGGACCTGTCTCCATGTGCCCCCTAGAGATCCTTTAGGACACCGGCAGGGCAGGGGAGAAGGTGTGGGCTCTGCCAGTCTGGGAAAGGCCCTGGGAGGCCATTGCAGTGATAAAGGGGAAGAGTACAGGTCTGACGGTGCTCAGGACCCTCTGCTGCCCTGTCCTCTGGGAGGGCCGCGTGGCTGGGACCACAGGCTCCTGCTGCTAGATGCCCAGGACACCTGCAGGCCACCTGGACTGAGCACGGCAGCTCCTCTCTTCCCACGTGCCCTCGGTCCCGCTGGGCTTGCCTGGCTGAGTGCAGGGACCCCAGCGGCCCCTCAAGGGCCAGCCTGCTCCCCACTGCTGCCAGGTGCTGGGGCAGGCCCTCGAGGTGAGCGGGAGACAGCAGTGCCCACCTGGATGATCTTCTCGGGAATATTGGAGACAGTGAAGCCGTAGAGGCGCACGCGCTCGGGGAAGACGCTCGACAGGATCCTGCGGTCCAGCTGAAAGGCAATCTCTCCCACCAGCCTCTCCCAAGCCAGCGGCTTCGGCTCTGAGGACAACAGGGGTGGAGGGAGTGGTCAGCAGCCGTGGTCAGCAGCCCAGGCCGGTGCCCAGGAGCTCTCGAAGTGTGGCGGGACCCTCCAGACCCGTGTGAACCGGCTGTGGCACTGACCTCGGTGGCTGTCAGGGAACTTGCTGGTCTTGCGGTGGGCCAGCTTCCGCTCCAAATCCAGGATGCTTTTTCGAGATGTTTCGGTGACCCGTGGGCCACGGGTGTCGTTGACAGAGGCCGGGGAGGAGGAGGTTCGAGGTGGGGAGTGGGGATTGCGTGGAGGGGAGTGGGAGGTGGGCAAGGGCCTGGTGGGGGAGTGGTGTGCCCTGGTGGGAGAGTGGGGGGTGCACTGGGCAATGTGGGTGGTACTTGAGGTGTAGTTGGTTGCAGTTTTGGGGGCGGGAGTGGGGGCAGAGGGGAGGACTGTGACGGTCTGGGAGGCAGCTGAGGAGGTGGGGACAGAGGCAATAACCGCTTGTCCCTGGGGGGCACCAGGCTGGGTTTGGGCATCTGAGGTGCCACAGGAGAAGGCCGTTGTGGGACCAGTCGTGCCCACTGTGCCCACAGGGGTGGAGGTCTGGATGGGAGCACCCACAAATGTCATGCTGAGGGGCTCCGGGTCCTGGGTTGGCTGGGGGTGCTCGGTGGAGAGCGGTACTAGTGACAAGGTGGGGGCAGAAAGGAGGGGAGGAGGATAAGAGCAAGGCAGGACCTGGGACCGGCCTGGCAGGGGGCCCCCTCCCCCAGGGCCTCCTGCTGCCCCTCCCCCTGCACCAGTTACCTTTGGAGGTGGCAGCAGGCCCCACGCCAGCTGAGAGATGGGGTCCCGAAGGGCATCCGTGGAGTGGCTCTGCCAGCTGCACCTTCGGGGCCTCTGACAGCACCAGATTGCTCATGGGGTTGGCCAGAGGGTTCTGAGAGACGCCTAGAGGGGCAGCCGTGGAGGTGAGCAGGGGGCTGCTCAGAGAGATGTCCATTGTGCCTGTGATAGGGGCCATCAACGGGCTGCTCTGAGATATGGTCAGGTGGCTGCTTGGAGTCAGGGGGCCGGTGGAGGGCAGGCCCAGGGAGCTGGCCAGTGTGCCTCCTGGGGACACTGCCATGGGGCCGGTCAGGTGGCTGCTTGGATTCAGGGGGCCGGTGGAGGGTAGGCCCAGGGAGCTGGCCAGTGTGCCTCCTGGGGACACTGCCATGGGGCTGGTCAGGTGGCTGCTTGGATTCAGGGGGCCGGTGGAGGGTAGGCCCAGGGAGCTGGCCAGTGTGCCTCCTGGGGACACTGCCATGGGGCCAATCAGGTGACTGCTTGGAGTCGGGGGACTGGGGGTGGGCAGGCCCAGGGAGCTGGCCAGTGTGCCTGCTGGGGACACTGCCATGGGGCCAGTCAGGTGACTGCTTGGAATTAGGGGGCCGGTGGAGGGCAGGCCCAGGGAGCTGGCCAGTGTGCCCGCCGTGGACACTGCCAAGGGGCTGGTCAGGAGGCTGGCGAGCAGGCTGTTCTGTGACATGGGCCCTGGGCAGGGCAGCAGTGCACTGAATGGGCCCATCAGGGGGCTCATGATGGAGCCTGCTGTGGGGCTGGCCTGCGGGCTGTTTAGCATGTCGGCCAGGGGTGCCAGGGTTACAATCCCCGCTTCTTCCAGGACGGGCTCATTTGCTGCTGTCGGAGACGGGGGCAGGAAGACACCTGGGGAACACAGAGGAGGCACTGAGAGCTCAGGCGGGCCCCCAGGGGAGGGGGCTCTCTCCCTACTGTGGCAGGTCCTGGACCACGGTGCCCATCTGCCTCTGATGAGCTGACTGACCTCTCTGAGCCTCACCGTGTAGGTGTGATCCCAGATCAGGGTTTGGCCCCTGATCTCCCGGTTCTTTCAGGCTCACTGCTCTAAACACCTGCCACAGGAACTTTCCACAGCTGCCCGCCCCTCAAATGTGCCTACTGCACTGAGCTGCTGACCCCTTGCTAACTTCCAGGTGGCCAAGTTGAGCCCTCTGTTCCCTGGTGGAGAGGAGTGGGCCTCTGTCCTTTCGGGGACAGCTGAGCTTCACCAGGTGGAGGACCTTCAAGGAGGCCAGGGCTAGAACTGGCGTGAAGCTTCACATGGTGCTAAAGGTGTGCCCAGGCCTGTGGGTGTCCCCTGCCCACCCAGGAACAGTGAAGGCAAGCTCAGGAGGGCGATGGGCCCAGACACACCCTTCTCACTCTGCACCCCATTGTGCAGGCCCGGCAGCCGGTTCCCGAGGAGGAGAGGGCCCTTGAATGACCGCTGTCTGGGAGAGGAGGCCCGAGGGGGCATAGCAGGTGGGGTGAGGGTGCAGGGAAGGTTTTCGTGAGTGTGGAATTTAATTGAAGACTTCTACTTTTTTGTTATAAAAGCAGTGCATGCTCCTAGAGAGAGAATGGAACCACAGAAAAGTAAAAACACTTCAGAACCTCCAATAGTCATGTTCCAGAGCTCCACGTTGCCTGGCAGTGTTCCTCCATCCATTTACGTAGACGGGGTCCACAAAGATATTCTATAAACGGCTGCTTAGAAGTATTTGCAGCTTTGCTGGCCTCCTGGTCTCGGTCACAGCCACTCCGCTGTGCCATAGCCGTGGGAAGCAGACAACACGGAGACGATTGCACCAGGGTGCGTGCACACTAGAGTTTGAACTTCGCGCACTTTCCGCTTATTGTGAGATAATGTTCTTCTGATTTCCTTTCAACCATTCAAAAACATAAAATCCATTCTTAGCTCCCGGGCCACACACATAGGGGTGGCAGCCATGTCAGTCACCATGTCCTTGTGATTGGATCCCTGTGAGCTGGTTAGTCTCATGGCCCCACACACGACTGCTTCCAGCAGCATCGTGCTGAGAACCAGCCCTTCCTTATGTGGCTGCTGTGGCCTCATCTTGTTCCATACATGTCCCAACCGCTGGGCACTTAAGTTGACTGCAACGTTCCCAGTGACAAATCTACTACATAAATCTTTGTCATCGATTTCCCCCAAAACAGACTTGTTGTGTGGAGGCTCTTAATGTACATTGCCAATCGCCCCTCTGTAAGACCCTCGGGAAAGTCCTGACAGTCCCCGTGAAGTCCCTGGGGACGTTGCTCAAACCTCTGCTGATGCCACACTGCGCAGAGTGTGGCACCACGTCCTGCCACTGTATTTTCTTTTTAAGTTTTGCTATTTTTTTCCAAACAAGGAAATTCAAATTGCATAATCGAATCAACCAGTGTTTTCTTTTATGATTTCTTGTTTTGGTTTTTTGGAAATTTTTGCTTTCGGATCGAAGAGATGAAGAGACAATAAAGCGGTGGGTAGACGGAAGCAGCCCAAGGAGAGGAAGCAGGTAGGCAAGGGGAGTAAGGCCAAGAGCCTGGTGGAGCACAGGGGGCTGTGGGCGGTGGAGGTCGCCGTCAAGGGTTGCCCTATGCAGCCTCTTTCCTCTGAGGGGAGCCAGGGTCTGGATGATGGAGAGGACCACTTGAGCAGCGTCTTCAGGAGGAAGGGAGAGGCAGTCGTGAGTCACCAGTCCCTGCACAGCCAGGGAGCCGCAGGGGCCCCAGTGATGCCTCGCTCACAGCACCTGACCCAGATGATCTGGCTTCTACCTCACCGATCCCCTGTCCCCACAGATCTCCTCTTTGTCCCTCTAAGATGTGTCTGGGGTGTTGTCCCCACTTGCCGTCTCAGTCCATTTTCTTCTCTTCTTTCCTACACCCTCTCTACCTGGGCTTTCCCCTTCCTTCTACCCGAACTCTCATCGGGACACCGGCAACCCCAGGATGCAGAACCCACAATCTGCTCTCAGGTCTCATCTTATTGCTGGTGGGTGGCCCTCACACAGTGGAGCACTCCTCCTTGTTGAAACCCGTCTTGGTTTGGTGTCCAGGTCCCTGGTCACCCAGCTCCCTGTGGGTGCTGCTGGTCCCAGCTCACCTGCCTTCCATGGGGCAGCCCGGAGCTCCCGCTTGAGTCTGCTCTTCCTCAGCAAGCTGATGTAGCTTGGGCACAGGGGACCAGGTAACGCTGGGCACACGACTTAGGCTGGACCGCAGACTCACACCCCCAGTGGCCTGACTCACTTCTTCCCTGGGAGTTCTGCTGGGGACTCCTGCTCGCCACTCCTGCTGCCCTGCCATGCTGTCAACGGGCTATCTGCCCTTTCAGTAGCCCAGGCCCCCAGCGGTGTAGCCAGCCTCAGCACATCCTTCACTTGCACCCCGCATCCGGTCTGTTTGCACTTCAGACGCGTGAAGAACCAAGCACGCGAACCGAACCACCGACACCGCCTGCCCGGGTCCACACTATGACTCCGCATGCGTAAGCAGGAGCTCCTGGCTGGTCTGATGCCGGCCTTTCCCCTCAAACAGCAGCCAGAGTGTTCCAGTTAAAATGTCCGCCAGCTCACCAATCTCATTCTGAGTGCTAGTCGTTCAAGGCCCCCTGTCCACGGGGGACAGAGGGGAGGGCAGCAAGGCGGCCGGGGTCTCGGCGGGTGGCTGGAGGGGGCGAGGAGCTTAGGTGGGCGTACAGGCGGGTCCGAGTACTGGGCGGAGGCTAAAGCACTGGGGCGGAGCCAGAGTACCGGGCGGGGCCATGATGGGGCGGAGCCAGAGTACCAGGTGGGCCCTGATGGGTGGAGCTAGAGTACTGGGCGGGGCCCTGATGGGGCGGAGCCAGAGTACCGGGCGGGCCCTGATGGGG